GAGCTAAAACACAAGCCCTCTTGGATGTGACACAAAAGCAACCAAAATGTGTGCTTAAGCCTGTCTTTTCAAGCTACTTTTTTTCTAATTTAGCAACAGAAACTTCAGAGACAAATGAATAGAGGTTGTGTATTCATGATCTGGGCAGAATGGCCAAATAGGAGACTAAATAAATATTTTTTTGTTTTCTCTCCTTCTGCAGCTTTGAAATGCAGAGAGTCTGGTGGATTCAGTAACTCTAATACAAAACTGCAAAGTGGAGAGAGAAGAAACAAGTTTCATTAACAGGAAGAATTCTACATAAAATATACGGGAGCTGATGGAGGAAAGAAAGAGACAGCCAAGATGTTCAGCTGCAAGTGGAGTCCAATTTGATGCTCAGCATGAGTTTAAAGGGAAGATTTTCTCAGCCTTAAAATAAAAGAGCAGTATTGGATGCGTACGGGGCAGAAAACTGTCGTCACAGAAATGGATTGTGCCGGGCTTGGGAAAAGTGAGAGTGGCAAAAGTAGCTCATTTTGCTGTGCTACATTTATAGATGTGCTCATTTGAATGCTCCCAGGAGGACCAGCTTTCTGCGTCCAGACAAAATTATACAGGCATCCCACCATGCTGTATCCCGGTGCTAAAACCTCAGCATAAAGGAGATCCACCACAGCCTAGCTGGGAATTTTGCCTTTGGATTTTGGGGAGCAGACCTGATTTCCTGCCAGCAGATGTGCTGCTGTCTTTCATTTCTTGTAGGATCAGCCCTCTGACATAAACAAATTACTGACATCAAGGACCTGATCCTGCTTCCACTGAAATCAATACAAGTTTTGTCATTGGTTTCAATGGGATCAAGGATTCAATGCCACTGTTTTTGAAGTCAATAGGGTTGGGGTTTTCTCTGAATAAGCAAAGTTGTGTCAATACTGCAGAATGGGCCTAAATTATATTGATTATTTGGATGTAAACCCTAGCATAAAAACAGGATTAGGGGGGAAAAGGGGAATGTATGAGAAAGTGAGTGTAGAGCAGCACCCATTCGTGGCGTGCAGCGGGTCAGCAGGAGCTCGGCCGGAGCAAAGGCTGCAGTGGCACAGCACCAGGCAGCCAAGTCCACTGGAAAATTTTGAGGGGAAGAGAGAGAAGAAATTCATCCTGGATATCCTTTTTCATCTCGTCCTTCTAAAGCAAACCTTTGAGTCACTCATCCTTTATTAAAAATAAACAAAACATCGACAGAAGAAATTATTGTCACACATACACACAAAGTAATTGGCTCTGCTTCTTCGGTGCTCCTTCTTTTCCCTCTTCTCTGATACAGGGTTGTTCTGTGTTTCTGTAACAACTACTGGCAAATCAGAATTTATTGTACATATGTTTGTGTTCCACTTAATAAAAAATATACTTATATTTTCAGATAAACTTTGTTAGTAATTCATGAGGTAAGTGACTATTTATGCTAATAGGGGAGAAATATATTCTCAAGCATAATGCATTACATAAATTTGAATGCAAAATGTTCAATTATGAAGTAAATACAGGTAATGCAAACAGTAAATTACATCCAATAAAAATATACAAAGAATGTGTCTTCAAAGAGAGAGAGGCTTTTATTTGCATCTGTGAGTTGTTTAAAGAGAAAAGAATTAATAAATACTGAATTACTCTTATGATGATTTAGCTCATAATTCAGCAATCCGTAACGACTCCCAGTAATCAGACTGTTGTTTCATACCCTCCAATATAAGGCAGGACTGTTTCCTCAGCAATTTTATCCCTACCAGATTATCTCGTCTGATTCTATTAATTCTCTCCCATAAATCTGCTAACAGTGATATGTGATTTACTTACCCTGTTAACTGATCTGAAGACTGTTAAAAGGATTTATCTAGCACTGCACCTAGGAGCAGTTTATGCCTTATCACTCTGTTACCCTGAAGAAGTCTTTCTGAAATCAATTTGGCTGGTTTCATAGTTAAATTCAGCGGACACTGTTTAGTTCTGCACCATAAAATAAGACACTAGATAAACAAAAGGAGCAGTAACTGTACTTAATGTGTTGGTCTTGATACTTGTTTAAGTTATAACGAATTACTGTGTGAGTCCATATAACACAAAAGCTGCACGTTGGCTCCTGCTGGATGTGGTGTGTGGGACAGGCACACGCGCTCCAGCGGTGCAAGTTCTGCCTGTGCTGCAGGCGTGCTCCGCACAGGCCGACCCCAGAGGCTCTGCAGTTAATGTTTCACATCCCCCTGCACGGTCTGTCACAAAACTCTCCCACAATAAATATACATTACTCTGGAGGCTCAGGAACCGGGTCAGCAGCACGCTGGGAGCGAGCAGGGCTCCACGGGTACGTCGTCGAAAGGAGATGCTTGAAAACAAACCGGAGCAAGAGGCTGTGAGAGGGACAGAGGAGTTTTCCCTCTGCCTGGCTCGGGGCAGGATTGTTACAAACAGTGCTGGGAAAAGGGAGCAGTCTGAGGGAATTGGCCTGCGATAATTGTGGAAAAACTGGAGACTGAATAGCTCTAATTGAAATGAAAGTGTGTGATTGTTGTGGAAGAAACACTGTTAATAGAGGACTGTAAATGTTTAGACACCCATTGTGAATAGCCAAATAATAAAGAAAAATACTACTAAATCGAGAATTATATACTGTAGGGAGGAGAATGTTGTTTCTGAAGGTTATCCAAAAATTGCTAATAATCTTTTTTCTCTGCTGCACTGAACAGTAGAGGCATTTTGGTGCAGCAGTTCTGTGTAACAATCACACAAGAACAATATTGTACAACTAATAATTTTACTCGCTGTTCTGGTAGGTCAGAGCTTCAATTAATTTGCAGTACTTGCTTACATTGGTATCAATTAAGAGACGGTCCCCATTAGCTCACACAATTTCATACTCTTTGTCTAGAGTTCAGAGTTTACTCAGGAAATTTCCTAGTTTGCAAATGTAGCACTTTGAATCTTCACATCCAAACAAACTATTTTATGGAGCTGGAGCCACATTTCCATAGCCATCTACCACACGGGCTAGGGAAATACAACGGTACATTCTGAAATGCAATAACCTTTTCATTTAAAAATATAAACTTTATGTCTCTGACAGGTAAGCATGTTAAGGGTTATATAGTGTCACATTCATCTTGCTCAGGAAAGAAGAAAAAATACAGGGAATTGACCTATCCTGAGGGGATTTATGCTGTGAGCCTGAAGTTTTGTTGATTCCAACAAAGTGAAAACATAGGAAAGTCAGCCCGAGCAGTTAACTTGCATTAACTTTGTCATGGATCTGTAAGATAAAGCTGCAGATGTGCACGGCTCCGTGTGTGCGGGTGTGTTGCGGGATGGTGCACAATCGTATTTTAATTTTGTTAGAAATGTTGGTAGCATTTTTTTCATCTTTACAGAATTGCCACTATGATATTTTCTAGATCTAGTTATCTCCCTAAATTTGCAGTATGCCCTACCCCTTTCAGCTGCCAGGAACAGTACATGCAGTATGACTTTCAGATGTTAGTACTGGCACTCACACTGATAATGGCATAGTCAGAAGATGTTATCCATTCGTAAATCCACTCGCCAAGTGCTATTTCCTAAGCAGAGATTCTTTGGCTATTGCAAATGATGACTTTCACAGTCAGTGAAAAATCACCCAGAGCCTTGCCCGCTACCTACAGAGTGATACCCTGAGTGGGGTTATAAATAGCAAACTCCAGGGGGGAAGGGACCGGGCTAGGGGAGAAGGGAGGATTTGAAGTACAATGTTCAAGAAGCAGGTTTAATATATGACCAAGTGTCAGAAGTCAGGTTTCTGAGAATTACTTTTCAGATAAACAACTTTATAGCACCGCACTTAATCTTACTTACTAGAGACATCTCATTTATCACGGAATTACAAGTAACTTTAATTCTATCGATATTCCCATAAAGCCCGGTGGGAAAATCGAGCCCGGCAGCCCCGGAGGCTGCGGGTCTCCCCGGCCCGCGATGGGACACGGCGGGCGCAGCCGGGGCCGGGCGGGACCGCGGCGGCTGCGGGGGCGGGCGGGACACGCCGGGGGGGGCCCGTCCTGTCCCGTCCCGTCCCGTCCCGTCCTGTCCCGGCGCTCGGCACTGACCTGCGGACGAGAGATGGCGCTGTCGAGGTTGGAACCGAGCCGCTCCGCCGCTCCGCTCCAGCCGCCGCCGCTCCTCGGCCCCCGGACCGGCCCCAGCCCCCTCCCGGACGGGAAAGGGGGGCTGGGTGGGAGGCGAAAGTAAATACAATTAGTTCTAAATGTATTAAATTAATTAGTCCTGTCCGGAGCGCCGAGTGCGGCGGGAGGGGGGGCGGGGGGAGCGCGGGGTTTGCAAACTTGCGCGGCTCTCGCACCTCCGGGCGGCCGTGGGGGATGGAGGGATCGATGCCCCGTCCCCGTAACAAAATAATCAATAAGTGACCGTGGCGCTGCGGGGGTGCGGAGCGGTGACCCGCGGCCGGCCCGGGGGAAGGGCCGCCCGCCCGGCCCCCCGCAGGTACCGCGCCGGGCACGGCCGAGCCCCGCGCTGCCTCCGCGCCGCCCGCTCCCTCCCGGCCGCTGCCGGATCCCCCGGGTACCGCGTCCGGCGCTCTCCCTCCCCGGTCCCGGCCGCACGGAGCTCCCCCGCGCCCTCGGGTGCCGGGCCGGGCTCGGGGGCAGCTCCGGGCACTCCGCCCCGCGGCAGAGCGCTCGCCCGCGGGCGCGCAAAGGTGCGATGCGGTGCGGGCGGAGCGGGCCGGCGGTGGCCGAGGCGAGGCGAGGCCGGGCGCGGTGCCGGCGGCCAGGAGAGGGTTAAGCGGGCGCTGACAGTCAGCTGAGCCCTGACTGACAGCCCGCAAAGTTTCCCTGTCGCTAGACTCTTATGCTAATGAGGCCGAGCGGCGAGCGCCCATTGGCCCGGCCCCGAGCCCGTGTCCCGCCTGACGTCACGGGCGCTATAAAACTCCGCAATGCTTTAAACTCTCCTGCCGGATCAAACCTTTAAATATTTTTCATCTTCTTGCTGTAGCTTTGAGGCCGAGTTGTTTTTTTTCCTCTCTCTCTCTCTTTTTTTTTTTTTTAAACTCTCATTATTATTATTATTATTATTTTGGTTGCGATACAGACTTTGATTTTTTTATTTTTTATTTTTTTTGCCTTCGCTCTCTTTCCCTCCTCCCTCCCCCGATGAACCTCTCTCCTCGCTCTGCACTTCGCACAAGAGAGCCCAGAGGAAAGGCACCATGAAGTGTTAAAAATAACAAAACAAAACAACAACAACAACAAATTTACTCGCAACAACACCAGCTAACACTTCCAGCTGCGGTTCGCGAGCTGCGAAAGAGAGCGAGAGGAGAGAGAGAGAAGGGAGGGAGAGAGGAGGAAAAAAAAAAACCCTCTATGCAAAAGGCGAATAGCGAGAGCCCCGCGCTCTGATGCATCAGCGGAGCCTCTGCGAGGGATAACGCGGAGCGGGAGAGGAGCCGCCGGGGCGGACCGGAGCGGAGGCAGAGCAGGAGAGCGGAGCGGAGCTCGCCAAAAATCAAGCTGGCTCACCCGGTGGCGACTCAGAGCAGCCCCCTCGCTCCCGGAGCGCACCCTTTCTGGAGGACTCTCGGCAGCAAAAGGATGGCATCAGAGCTGGCGATGAGCAGCTCCGACCTGCCCACCAGTCCCCTGGCCATGGAATATGTTAATGACTTCGATCTGATGAAGTTTGAAGTGAAAAAGGAGCCGGTGGAGACCGATCGCATTATCAGCCAGTGCGGCCGCCTGATCGCCGGGGGATCGCTCTCCTCCACCCCGATGAGCACGCCCTGCAGCTCCGTGCCCCCGTCCCCCAGCTTCTCGGCGCCCAGCCCCGGCTCCGGCTCCGACCAGAAGACCCACCTGGAAGACTACTACTGGATGACGGGGTACCCGCAGCAGCTCAACCCGGAGGCGCTGGGCTTCAGCCCCGAGGACGCGGTGGAGGCGCTGATCAACAGCAGCCACCACCCGCTGCCCGGCGCCTTCGATGGCTATGCTAGAGGGCAGCAGCTGGCCGCGGCCGCCGGCGGCTCCGTGCCGGCCGAGGAGATGGGCTCGGCGGCCGCCGTGGTGTCGGCGGTGATCGCCGCGGCGGCGGCGCAGGGCGGCGCGCCCCACTACCACCACCACCACCACCACCCGCACCACGGCGGCGGCGGCGGCGGCGGCGGCGGCGGCGGGCACCCCCACGCCGCGGCGCCGGGCAGCGCGCCGCCCTCCTCCGCCTCCTCGGCCGCCGGCTCCGGCTCCGGCGGCGGCGGCGGCGGCGGCGGCGGCGCCGGGGGGCTGCACCACCCGCACCACGGCGGCGGCGGCGGCGGCGGAGGTGGCCTCCACTTCGACGACCGCTTCTCCGACGAGCAGCTGGTGACCATGTCCGTGCGGGAGCTGAACCGGCAGCTGCGGGGCGTCAGCAAGGAAGAGGTGATCCGGCTGAAGCAGAAGAGGAGGACCCTCAAAAACAGGGGCTATGCCCAGTCCTGCCGCTTCAAGAGGGTCCAGCAGCGGCACGTCCTGGAGTCGGAGAAGAACCAGCTGCTGCAGCAAGTGGAGCACCTAAAGCAGGAGATCTCCAGGCTGGTCCGGGAGAGGGACGCCTACAAGGAAAAGTACGAGAAGCTGGTCAGCAATGGCTTCAGAGAAAACGGATCCAGCAGCGACAACCCTTCCTCTCCAGAGTTTTTCATGTGAGTTCCCACAGCCTTGCCACCTTAACTAAAAGTTCTCCGTGTGAGTTGTTGTTGGGGGCTTTGCTAGAGCCACAACCCCGCTTGCCACCTTCTATTACCTTTTTTTAGAAAAAAAAAAAAAAAAACTCAAAACAATTTTAAAACAAAGTTGTTTTTTGGGTTGGTTTTTGGTTTTTTTTTTTCTTTTTAAGGTGGGCTGGCTCCGTGTTGGCCAACCTAAAGTTCTACATGAGTTTCTTTTCTGTTTATTATTATTATTATTATTTTTATTTTTGTGGGGGCTTGCTGTTGTGTTGTTTTTTTTTTAATTTGAAAGATCCAACTCGCCACCAACTCAGTTCTTCATATGAAGCTTGCTCTTCTTTGAAACCTGCCATCCACATTATATATATATTTTTAAGTTCATGAGGTTTTTTTTTTCTTTTGAGCTTGCTGTGTCCAAAAAGTCAGATTTTTTTTTGCCATCCTGAGTTCTTCATATGAGATTTGAGCTTTGAAAAAGAAAAATAAAATAAAAAAATTAAAAACTAAACTAAAAAAAAAAATACAAAAAAAAAACCCAATGTGAAAATTTTAGACTCCAGCTTGCTGAGTTCCATCAGTTTTTAGCGTTGTTGTGCAAAACTAGAAATATGCCTAGATCAACCTGCCAAAATCAAGCCTGCATCAACCTTCGGTGTGTTCATGTGAGTTTTGGCCTTAATCTGCCAAACGTGAGAATTTAGTCTGCCATTAGAATCCCATACTCATCTCATGCATTACGCTTGCTATTTTGTCTTAGCAACAATGAACTATAACTGTTTCAAAAGACTATGAAAAAGAGACATTATATTAATAAAAAACCCTGCATGCTGGTCATGTATGGTATAATTATTTTTTTTTTCTTTTGCTTGGAAATGGACTTTTGGAGACTATTATGGCATGGCATTCATCCTTTTGTTTTATTGCCTCATCACTTTTTTGGGTTGAAAGCAAAAAAGTGCAACCTTTGATCTTCCTCCTCCTCTTCCTCCCATTAAAGTTTGCATCTGCTCTAAAACTGCTTTGAGTTACTCAAAACTTCAGACTTCCTTTTAAATGCACTGAAGCATTCCCTCTCAAAAAACCTGCCAGAACGGATTTTGGTAACCTAATGTGGCAAAAAAAAAATTAAAAAAAAAATCAAAAAAACAAAAACACAGAAAGAACTTTGGAAAGATGTTCAAAAACAAAATTCACATCCCACTTGGGGGGGACATTGAAACCATGCTGTTGCCTAAAACAGTCTAAAATTAATTTTAAGTGATCTGCCCCATTTTTTTTTTCCTTTTGCGTTTGGTCATTGTCAAATGTGGAATGCTCTGGGTTCCTAGTATATAATTTAATTCTAGTTTCTGTCATCTGTTAGCCCAGTTAAAATGTATGCTACAGATAAAGGAATGTTATAGATAAATTCGAAAGAGTTAGGTCTGTTTAGATGTAGATTTTTTTTTTAAAGATTGATGCACTAAATTGTTTACTGTCGTGATGTAAAGGGGGGTAGAATTTGCAATGGGACTGTTTTAAAAAGTAGTTTATGCAGCATGTGCTTGCAACTTAAATATAAGTTGGGTATATGTAGTCCTTGCTATACCACTGACTGTATTTGAAAACCAAAGTATTAAAAGGGGGAGGCACCCCTGTTTATATCTATAGGGGTATTTTACATTAAAAATGTATGGGTTGTTTTTTTGTTTTTTTTTTTTTTTTCAAAATTGAAGTATTTGGGACTGAATTGCACTAAGATATAACCTGCAAGCATATAATACAAAAACAACAAAAAAATTACGAACCTGTTTAGAACGCTAATACAATTTATGCAGTTATAAAGATGGCATTACTGCACAGTTTTAAAATGATGCAGATTTTTTTACAGTTGTATTGTGGTGCAGAACTGGATTTTCTGTAACTTCAAAAATTCCACAGTTTTAAAGGCAATAATCAGTAAATTTTATTTTCAGGGACTGATATCCTGTCTTTTAAAAAAAAAATGGAAAGTAAATCTTACCACAATAAATATAAAAAAATCTTGTCAGTTACTTTTTCTTTTACATATTTTGCTGTGCAAAATTGTTTTATATCTTGAGTTACTAACTAACCACATGTGATGTTCCTATGTGCTTTTCTTTCATTTTCAACTCTATGGTTATATCGAAAGAGAGAATAATCTACAATAATAAACTGCATTTTTTTGATTCCGTACTCAGTTTCTTAGTCTGTAGTTCCAAGTTCCATAACTGCGAGCGCAGTGCTTCAGCGTGCTGCCTGCCGAAGGGGCGATGCTGACCCACCAGCTGGACTCAATAATGTTCAGGAGGCGAGAAGGGAAGGGATAGCTTCATGTAAAACGGAAAATTGTCACCCGCTAGGACTCAAGTTCTCTTTCAGGTAGATGAAAAAAAAACGTGAGCTTTCAGGTGCTGCTTCTGACTTCTCAGTTGTGCAGTGAGAGAGGGCAGTTTCAGTGACTCAGATCATCCCAGCAAGTTCTAGGAGATCTCAAAGGGGAGGTCTGCTTAAAAACCTGATGACACGATATGGCCCTGTATTTTGATTGTTATATGATGGAGTGAAGTGAAAGAGAAGACTTCACATCCTCTTATTATCTGATCCCAGCTAAGCATGCCTGTCTCTAGTAAGAGATGACACTGCATCAGACTTGGCTTGTCACAGAGCCACTTAACCCTAGACTGGAAAATATTTTGGTCCATACTGCCTCCTTTTTTTCTTTTCTTTGCTTTTTTACCCCTCTTTTTCCTTTTGTTTATCCTGTGGAATTTTTTTGTCTTGTTTTGGGTTTTTTTGGTTTTGTTTTGTTGTTTTTTTTTTTTTTGCTACAGGCCTTAGAAAGTCCAGAGAGAACTGAGGAGTGGAGAAAAAAAAAATCCAAAGGACTTCCTTCAACTTTTGAGAGTTATTTGTTCTAAACAATCAACCCCAAAGGTTAATGTGCTAGAAACATTCAGGTCTCTGAGCCCCTCTTCACTGCAGTTCCCCATGTCAAAGGGCATTTAAACTTTGAAAGGCTCCTCAAACGCTCAGCCCAGTTTGTTTAAAGCCACCTTTCCCTGAGAGCCTCCAGTGTCCGTCGGCAGAGTGCTGTCCTGCTCTCTGAATGGGATTATCTGCCCACTTTCTGTGAGAGGCAGAGGCCTCTCCGAAGGATGCTCCAGCCTCTCCAGGATGGGGGGTTTATCTCCAGTCCCAGGCTCATAAACCAAACACTTTTTTATCCTCCTTTGTGTTTTTCCCCCCGGCTGCTGGTGCAACTTCTTCCCAGCAGTAAGGTCATCCCTCCCAGGTGCTGGTGGCACTCAAGGGACGGGACCTGTTGCCATCCCTGTGCCTGGCTGGTCCAGCCCCTGGTAAAGGTTGAGCTGCAAGGTCAAGGTGTGGCTCTGATCCCCCCTGCAGCACCTACACCCACAATAGCCTGTGTCAGTGGGCAGTGGCTGGTGCTGGAGGTCACTCTGCTCTTGCTGAGGTCCCTTTGGCGGGGATGGACACAAGCCTCTGTTGGTGACAGCAGTGGCTTGGTCTCTGAGCCGATGCTGTCTCACCGCTCCCCAGTGCCGGGGCACCAACCTGCCCTTTGGCATCTGACCTGCTGTTGCACCAGGGTTTGAGTAATGGTTCAAGCTCCAGATTCTAGTTAATTTGAGTTCCATTTTCTGGTTAATGTGTAATCTGTAGGTAAACTGGTTGCTATTGGCCAAGCTGGGAATTATCTCCTCTCATAAAGACAACGCTGCTCGTTATTTTGTCTCCCACCCTCCCTTCCCTGACTGAGCCTCTACCAATATCCAGGTGTTTTTGCAGGGGCTCGCTTAGAAGCTTTGCTGCTGCCCTTGCTGAGAGCAAGGAAGGGAAGGGACAGGACCTGTCATCAGCAGAGCCCCCGCTGAAGTGGTGCTGCAGTCCCCAAGGGAGCACAGAACCCCAAGCTGCCCGGAGCAGGACCACTTCTGGTCCAGCCTCATCCTCACACCTGGCTGCCACTTCAGGCTTCCTTGCAGGCAAAGTTAGGAGCAGACAATAGAATTTTAACAGGATTTTAAAAGTACTGTGAACTGACTGAGTAGTGAAGAGCGAGAGCACTGCTGTCTCCCTGAAGTATCTTCTTTCATGGAGGAAAAAAAACAGCCATCCTATTTGAATGATTTGAGAGATAAGAGAAAACCTTCCAAGAAAAAGACTTCCTAGAATAGGGTGACAAAGGGAAAATTCCCATCATACCCCCAACCTGAGAGGGGAAAAAAAGCTTTCTTCCAGTTTGGCATTGTGATGACAATCTTGCTTTGCAAATTAAGGAAAAAAAAACCAAAAACGCAGCCTTCCTTAGGCTGCACTTGAATTTCAGCCTGAAATACGCTAACTGGCCAACTGAAGGGGAAAAAATTAGGTACACATTTTAATATTCACAAAAGCAAAGTGAGTATTGGGGTTCTCTGTATGAGTCATTGCAGGGGAGCGCCCACCTTTGCCGCAGGACTGCTTGCTGAGGACTAATTGGAACCGCTCTGCTCTGAATAACCTACATTCATTAATCACCCCTTGCTTGACTCTGGCCTCAATCCTGCTCCCATTGAACTCAGAGGTACAGTCTCTGGGGATTTCAAAGGGGAGCAGGATCCCACTGTTCTCCCACAGGTAAAAAGCAGGTGGAATGCTGCCCAGGCCAGGCAATTGGGTGTCAAAAGGTGTGCGTGGTCTTGATCTGCCCATCATAATAACATCCTATTTTTCCCATAGTCCTATAGTGCATTCCCATTTATTAACTACATTACAAAGAACTTTCATGTGACCAGTGCTGGGAGATACGTGCATGGACAGCGGTCCTTTGCTGACTGGGAAATGGTGTGCACTGAGGCTCAGCCCCCTCCTCCCTCCCCAGCCCACCTCGTCCCTCAGTGGTTTTTATTTCTACCTCCTAAAATGAAACACAACCCTCTCCTGCCCAGCCTCCAGGCTGCTGCTGA